TGTTTAAGCTGTCTGTCTGCAAGCTCCTTTGCAACCCAACCTGTGTTAAAATCTGTGTTTGTGCGTCAGGACGAAGGAGGGCGGAGCCGTGAAGCTCTGGGATCAGGAGATGAAGCGATGCCGAGCCTTCCAGCTGGAGACCGGGCAGCAGGTGGAGTGCGTGCGGTCGGTCTGCAGAGGCAAGGTGAGACCTCCACATTCTTCTTCTTTCCCCGCTCCTCCTCCTCCGCCGTCACCCGTCCGTCTTCCTCATCGCCTCGGCCTCTCGTCTTCCTCAGGGTAAGATCCTGGTGGGGACGAAAGACGGCGAAATCATCGAGGTCGGGGAGAAGAACGCGGCGTCCAACCTGCTGCTGGACAGTCACGCTCGGGGGGGAATCTGGGGTCTGGGCGCTCATCCGGCCAAAGATCTCTGCATCACAGCGAGCGACGACGCCACCATCCGCCTGTGGGACCTCGCCGACAAGGTGCATTCATACATATGTCAGTGATTGGAGGACGTAGGTGGTGGATGCTGGGTGGAGCAGGGCTGGAAACAGCAGGCGCTGCTGCACGATGTGGTGCAGCGAGCTAAAGAAATCTTCTCTCTCTGGTTAGAAACTGCTGAACAAAGTGTGCGTCGGCCACGCGGCTCGCTGCGTCAGCTACAGCGCAGACGGAGAGATGCTGGCGGTGGGGATGAAGAACGGCGAGTTCCTCCTCCTCCTCTCCAATTCGCTGAAGATGTGGGCGAAGAAGCGAGACCGCAGCGCCACCGTCCAGGACATCCGGTAAGAGAGCGAGAGCGGCAGCGAAGAATGAAAGCGCTGGATGTTTGTTTGACTGAACTCTGTGCGCAGCTTCAGTCCCGACCGGCGGCTGTTGGCGGTCGGCTCCGTGGAGAACACGGTGGACGTGTACGACGTGAGCGCCGGGCCGGCGCTGAACCGGCTGGTTTACTGCAGCGACATCCCCGCCTTCGTCCTGCAGCTCGACTTCTCTGCTGACAGCTGCTACGTACAGGTACAGCTTCCTGTTAGACGGAGGCTCTTCCTCCCCACAGTCACCAGGTGCTGTGATACATCAGAGACTGCTCTACACAAAAAACACACAGACACACACAGACACACTCGTTCTGCTGACGCGTGCTTCACAATCTCACCTGCAGGTGTCATCGGGAGCTTATAAGCGGCAGGTGTTC